GTGATAACGCCACTAAGACACAAGGGGAGGGGGCTACATGAAGTAAAAGAGAAGGAAAAGACTTTAGAGGAACTGGAAACCAAGAAATAGTATGGATTTCAGAGTTTAGTCGGAGACGTTAGACGTATAGAGTTTAAGTAGACTGCAGAAGAAATCGGAAAATCCAATCCTAAACGGAAACAAGGGTTAAACCTCTACTCCTGTTCAAAAGACTAGGGAGGTAATTTGAGCCGGACGATAAATGAACCCATCTCTTCCTGATAACTTTATTTTCGTATCCAGAGCGTAAACAAAGTAATATTTAAACAATTAATAGATGTTCTTAATGTGATAATATTTATTAATTAAAAAAAATATAACTATCGCGGATGCCTCCTGACGAGTGGAAAAATGATTAAAAAAAGGTTCGTCTACGAAACTCTGGAGTGGGGTTGCTGCATCAATCAGCTAAGGGTTGTGGATTCCGGGTTGAAATCCGGTACCAATAAATAAAAAACGCCAGGAATGAATATATGAAAATAATGTATTAACGTAATAATACAAACTGGTAATGCAGGTTAGTAGTTCCAGGAATGCGGGTTAGTAGCAAAATATATATACAGTCTTTGGGTATTGAAGTATCGCTGTATGACTTCTTACTGGAGTCTACGTGTTCGCTCACCGTGACTCCTACAACGCTGTTACCTCACCCTCACTCTTCTGGTTACCTACAACCTTTTACTCTGTCACTCTGGACTCGACTCTTCGGTCTTGCTCGCTATTTATCGATCCACCCACGAGTATTGAATGTGGCACAAGGCCGGTTTAATGTGGGTATCTCCGAGCCCGTAGGCTCGGCCAAAAATATAGCCTTTGAACCCGCCTAGACGAGTTCAGGCCCTGTCTACCTCCCCGGACGAAACCTTGCCCTTCGGCAAAGCTTCTTCCGGGTTCCTCTCTGCTAATGCAGAGAGTTCGACAGACGTCGCTTACAGTCAAAGACTGTATCACGACTCAGCTAGACTCGGAGGTCTTGCTCTCTCGGGTATATATATATACTACGTAGCCGTAGTATATATATATATATACACTGGGTGAGTCCATTTGTGTAAAAGGGGAGAACCCCTCAACACTAAGTGATAAATTTTATATTTGTATCAATCCTATATATAATGTGCAATATTACACACACACACACACACACATATATATATATGTGTGTGTGTGTATAATATTGCACATTGAATGCTGGTGTTAATAAAATAGTGTTCGATGCAATATAACAGAGCTATTAACTATATATTAATAAATATACATATTTTTCTTCACCGGTAGCACGACTCGGAGTTTGATGCACAAGGCAATCTTCATGTGCTGACTTACGACTGACCGTCAGTCTCAACTCCGAGTTGTGCTACCCGTGGGTAAAAAGTTTGTCAGTTGATTGATGTTACATTCAGTATCCCGACTCCAGAGTTTCGTAGACGGACCTGTCCGTTCATTCGTCAGGGGCTATCAGCAATAAATATGATTCCAGCTTGAATCATAAGGTTCGCTGCCTGACATATAGTCATTAGCTAATTTTTTTTATCTGAGAGTTTTAATGTACAATGTTTGATGGTATTTATCAATTCACCCACAGGAATTGAATGTGGCACAAGGCCTTTTTAATGTGGGTATGTCCGAGCCCGTAGGCCCAGCCAAAAATAAAACCCATGTAAACCCGTCCAAGCGGGCTAGTTCCGTCAACCTCCCCGAACGAAACCCCACCCTTCGGCGGAGCTTCGTCCGGGTTCCTCTCTGCAAGCAGAGAGTTCGACAGACACCCGGCTCGGCAGCTCACAAAGCGCAGATACTACACTTTGATCCTAGCCACTGGGCTGAGCGGGTATTCTTTTTTTTTTTTTGTTTGATATGTATGATGAATATTCACCACTGAATTAAGTGCATTGACAAAGAAGGACACTATATTGAAAAATAAGTTTCTCTAAAATGCTTTCATCAGTAAGTGCTAACGGACGTATTAATGTATCTATATTTATACGAGCATATGTGTGAGCGTTTGTTATTACGAGTTGTACACAAAGAAAGAGGGAGAGACAGACAGACAGACAGAAACAGGCAGACAGACAGAAACTGGCAGACAGACAGAGGCAGAGACAGAGAAAAAAGATAAAATCATTTCAATTCGTTCGAGAACCTGCAACACAAGGTTCACTTAATTGAATTTCCACCTACGTTTCATATCTTCAAGGTCGTCACACGTGGAATGGTACCAGTCAGTTCTTTTCGTAGCGCATTTCCTGGGAGCCAGAATGGTTTAAAAGGAAGAGATACTAGACGTAAGAATACCGAAGGAAATAAATTAATAATTTATGTCGAGGTTACTATATAAATATTTAAATTAACATGCAATTGTTTTATAAACTTGGGCATTGCGAGCCAACATCATGGTGGTTCTTACGAAAGGAAAAAAGAAGAAAAAGAATTATACAAAGATTATTATACAAAAACAAAACAAAAAAGAACACAGCTCTCCACACATTCTCATTGATTCTAACATTGTTTCGCATGAATTTGCATATAACTGCTTATTTTATATATTTGATTTATATATATATATATATATATATATATATATATGCAACCGGGCATCCATCCACACTGATGAGCTGTGATACAGCGAAACAGTCTGTGGATGACAAAATACATTCACCTGAAAAATTATTTCCGTTGAGCACTCAGGAGAGAAAGTGTGAGTTTGTAAACAGTGACTATTACTGCTACTAATGCAATACTCTTCGATAAAACGAGTAGAGTTCACTCAGTCAGTGCCGTGTTTATCTAAAAATAAGTACGCTTAAATTCACCTGCATCCCTTCCGTGCGCCAAGAGCTTATGGTTTGATTCTCCGACTGACGCCAATTCAGCAGGGTTTCGATGCTATCTAGTGGCAACCTGACGTCTGGCCACACTGATGAGCTGTGATATAGCGAAACAATCAGTCTGTGGATGATTACATATATATATATATATATATATATATATATATAAGATATCGCACATACTTTTTCATATAGTTTTAGGTCCGTCTATTTTAATATAATTTCTTTTTATTTTAGATAATTTTATTTAATTTAAAATTATGTAACGGTCATTCTCTACCCATCACCTGAAGATTGCGTTGTACATGAAACTCTGAGTCGTGCTACCGCTGAAGGATAATATATATATATATATATGCGCGCTGACCCCAGTATCCACTTTCAGGATGTCTATAACTATCAAACTTTTATAATATATATATATATATATATATATATATATATATATATATATATATACTATTAATATTAAATGGTAAGAGATTTTAGGGGCCAAATTTTCTAGTTTTTTCGTAGTTTACTAGTGGAAAGGCATTTTAGGCAGGCGGGTTTTTGGCATAAAGTGCTCGATATCACAAGTTGAGCATTAATAGAATTAATGTGGAGAAACCTGTCACTTAACTGAGTGGTGTTATTTCAGTCATGCCGACTTCAAAGATTCGTGAGCGCATTGTAGCAATGCTTTCACTCTTCAGGGCTATTATCTTCTCTGCTGCTACTTCTCAATTATTTCGTAATTATGTATAGTACAATTTAATATCTTTGTGTGTGAGTATGTGATTTTTTCACTTCATGATTCATCGAAAAGATTTTTTCTTAAGACAATATTGCCCATAATATATCTCATTCTTAAAAACAGTTAAAAGCATTTCTAATTAAATAATGTCTTAGATTTACTGATTTTTTTATTTTACGATTCAGAACAGATTTTCGGTAACTGGCGGTCCTGCTTTACAAAAAGAAAAATTAATGATTTAAATTCTCCAAACACTTCTGCTTATAATTATTATAAACATTTAAGCCATATAAAAATGAATTTCTAGATATAGAAAACATATTTTTATTAAGATTTTCTAAAAAAGACATGTTTCTAAAATAATTTCATTCATTTGTGAATAAGTCCTGAATGTTTCATTAAAATTCAACAATTATTTGATTTTTGCAAGAATTTCTAAATCACTGTGTTTTTTACCCCAAAAAGATGCGAAAATTTTCCATACTAATATATAGTCACACGCTGACGCAAGAAAAAAAAACAAACAAAAAAAAAAATTTAAAAGGTTCTAAAAATGATCAAAATATATAATTTAATAATCAAAAAATCCTTTGGTTTTTCGACTTAATAGTAGCATAAATAGTTTGAGAAAACTTTAATTAAGTTTGCGGTAGTTTTTCATTATGGTACGCTCATTTTTTAGCGAATCTCTGGAGGTACGCAAACATTATACCTATGTTGACACATAATATGTATAACATTATACCTATGTTGACACATAATATGTATAAATCAACTTTATAAATCCGGTTGGGACAATCAACTTGTATGCGTTTGTTTTCGCAAGTTTCATTTCCTGTTCTTATATGAATCTATATTTAGGCAGCGAAAATTAATTTAAATAGATATTGATAAAATCAACTGACAAGGGCAGTCTGTTTATTTATTGGAAATTTAGAAAAATACAATAAAATGTGTGTGTATGTATGTACAAGTGTATGTATGTGTGTGCGTAACTTCGGTTACATAATTTATTGTATCAAATGCGTATAGAAACTATTATGGTATAATTTTATTCAAATATGTCTTTTTTATGTCTTTGTTTCATTTTTCCTCCTTTTTTATTCGCTCTTTCTTTTTCCCTATTTTTTATTTTATTTTTTTATTCTTGGTTTTTATTTATTTTTCCTTTAATACATTTTTGTATTTGTTGCTTTTTATAGCTCATTCTTTCTTTCTTTCTTTCTTTCTTTCTTTCTTTCTTTCTTTCTTTTTCTGTCTTTTTCGCCCTTTCTGCTTTCATTTGTTGTAGTAGATAAAGTGCAAAATATTGTTGACACTGCTTTTTGAGTCTAACTCGGAGCAGTCCCTGACCCGAACTGATACTATGCGATATGGTTCAAACTGGCACCTTTCTATTTTCATGTGGAAGGAGGGGGAAAGACATTAGCTGGTTTCAGTTGGAAAATCAAAGGAAGGAAGGAAGGGAAAGGAAGGAAGAAAGGAAGGAAGGAAGGGTGGAAGATAGGAAGGAAGGAAGGAAGGAAGGAAGGGAAAAAAGAAGGTAGGGAGGGAGGAAGGAAGGAAGGGAAAGAAGGAAAGGAAAGGCAAGGGAATGAAAAGGAAGGAAGGAAGGAAGGAAGGAAGGAAGGAAGGAAGGAAGGAAGGAAGGGAGGGAGGAAGAAAGAAGGAAGGTAGGGAGGAAAGAAGGAAGGAAGGGAAGGAGGGAGGGAGGAAGGAAGGGAGGGAGGAAGGAAGGGCGGGTGGAAGATAGGAAAGAAGGAAGTTAGGAAGGAAGGAAGGAAGGAAGGAAGGAAGGAAGGAAGGAAGGAAGGAAGGGCTGGGTAAATAGCAGGACAGACTGGGTTCTATAGCCTTGGATGGCAACTGGTCTATCACAGAAAGAAATGGCTACCTACTGCAGGAATAATCTGCCTCGTCAGTCATGTATCGAAAGACTGACTATGACTCCATTTATATTCTCCCTTGTCGCAAACTTTTGACCGACTACTTGACCTGTACGCAATGATATGGCGCACCCATCTCTCGCATGATTATATCAATACAGCCGTTTTGACTAAATACATTTTCTGTCATAAGGTTCAAAACTGGGTTGGAACACAAGTGGTGCTAAAAATACAAAAATCTCCAACCAGACAAAGAAGAAAGGTTTAAAATAAATTCTGATGTTTGGTTGTTTTTTTTTTTTTTTAAATGAATAGGCCTGAGAATTTTCAATAATGCAAATAGGAGACAGTGAACAACAATAGAAAATCAAAAATTTAGGTCAGATGTCCGACTGTTTTTTTTTTTAAAAATTCAACCATATTTTAGCACTCAGAAGAATTTAGCGAATAAATAACAACAATTTAAACTGTCAATTAAACTCTAATTTTCTGGATGTAGTTTGATTTCTGGATGTGGTTTTTGTGGAGCAATAAAAATAAAGAGTGTTAAGTTTTTATTGAAATAATTTAGTTTGTATCGCCATTATTTTTCTTCGATTTGTGATTTTCTTTTTACCATATACTCCCGGCGTCAGTATAAACTGATGCCTTCTTTTCTGCCATATATATCTAAACTATAATTATAAACTGCTAGTATTGGAATTTAATTTGTGAACCACGAATGCAATATTTTACAAGTTCATTCCAATCCTCACTCGAACCTTTTATCTTACTTTCAAAACCGGCGCCCAAAACCTTGATTTTTATCGGAGAAAAGAATGTGTTTCCTGACCAATGGAGGGCCAGGAAATTTGTATAAAGATTTGGGGGGGGGGGAAGTCCCCGATGATTCTGAGCCTCCCCTATCTCCATAAATTTGGAGAATCTTCGCCTATTTGGCAGTGAGAATTCGGCCCACTGCCTGTGAGGTCGGCGATAGCGATTTTCCAAGCGTAGCTCGGATGTGGCACAAGGCTGAAAGTATGGGGCACCCAGTGAGGATCGAACTCACTACTCAGTCGTCATTGTTCTAGCGAGACAAGCTTGCTAACCATTACACCACCTCGAGGTGCCCAAGAGGTCGGCGATAGAGAGCACCAGTCAACTTCGGAACCACTTTCAACCAAAGAAGAACTACCGATGAAAGGGATGTCAAGAACTAACATCGGCCCCACTATTAATGATCAGTTGAAAGCTGCCTCCGTTCATCTACAAAACTTCTGTCGTCGACCTACGAACTCACTCAACTGCAAGATTCCAATATCTACCATTTTCCTATTCTGCAGGAACTTTGAAGAAAACTTTCTAACCATTAACAACCTACTCGCTTAAAGACCTTTATGCGCTCAGAGAAATATTTTGAGCCAGCCTTTTTTCTGTTATGAATATTTTCTCTTCCCTTAAAGGACATTTTCTTCTCTCTTTCTTTTTCTCCTAATTCTCCTTTTATCCCTTTACCCTTTTTTCTGTATATGTATATAAACACTTTCTTCTTATATTGTTACACACCGAGTAAGAGTTTTTCTTTATTCGTCCGCGCCTAAAAGATAGAGTTTCTCCGCTTTGACCTTGCTGGTTTTATTTGTGTTTTACCGCAGTTTTTTAACCTCAACCCTTTGATGTTGAAAAGACGGGATAAATTTCCCAGCACTAGTTTTAATCCGTGGAAATTTGAATTTTCTCATGAATTTAAATTCTTCAGTGAATGATTGCGTAAGCTCATGGCGAGTTCTATGACAAATATCCGTAGAAATTCCCCTATCACATCGTTACAACTTTAACAAAATATTGCAATAACAATCATAAATATGGTCGTTATTTTAAGAAGTGGGTACAAATGAAAAGATTCACAACTTTTTTTCTGTTTTCATTTCACTGAAACAGCCGTTAAACAACTTCTATCTTCCCTTCTTTCTTTCTTTCTTTCATTTTCTCACTGAAACCAACTGGTGTCCTTTTCCATCTTTCCACGCGATGAAAACGCATTATTTCTGACGTATTGACAAGAAACGTTAAACACATCTATCTATCTATCTATCTATCTATCTATCTATCTATCTATCTTCTTTCCTTCCTTTTTTTTAAATTAAAAAAAAAAAAAACCCAAAAAAAACCGGTGTCGACCCAACATATAAATAGAAATAAAAATAAATATTATAATTCCAGCACTTGAAAATTTCTTCAGCATGAAACTCCCAGTTGTGCAATTAATACAAGATATTATGTTTATTACTTATATATATATATATAGCTGTGTTACTTTACATTTAGCACTGTTTTTTCTTACACTATTTATCTTACACTATTTATTTTTCTTAGACTATTTATATGTACAGCGTAACCCGGATATGAGAGATTTTCTCTGGTCTCAAATTAGAGCCTGTGTTAATGTATATAAAATAGACCCAACCCGGATATAAGAGAAACCCGGATATAAGAGACTTCTTCTCCGGTCCCGACAACTCTCTTATATCTCTCTTATGTATTTTGTATACGATAGCTCGTTTGTATACCTACACATATTTACCATTCGGTTATATATATATATATATATATATATATATATATAACGTCATCCACAGACAGACTGTTTCGCTGTTTCACAGCTCATCAGTGTGGCTAGACATCCGGTTGCCTCTAGCTAGGATCGAAATATATATATATATATATATATATATATATATATATATAGGGTGGGTAAGGTATTTGAGGACATACCTTTTTGGGGTTATTGCTGCATTCTACTAAAGATGTTTTTTAGAAAATAATATGCAGCTTGGTCAAGAAATGAAAAGACATGCTATAATTGTGGCTTTAAAGGCTGAGCATAACGGTTTAGAGATATCTCGATTTTTAATCTCACCAGATCTTTCGTCTACAAAGTTTTTAAGCAGTTAGAGACTGAAGATGGTAACGTATCACCATTATTAAAACCTACTAAAAAGCATTCCAAACACTCTGAAAGAAACAGTGATTATAGCTGAGAAAGACAGAGGAAAAGAGAGGTAGAAAGAGAGAGAGAGAGAGAGAGAGAGAGAGAGAGAGAGGAAAAGATATAGTGGTTATAGAGAGAAAGATAGGAGCGAAAGAGAAGGTAAGTTAAAGAAAGTGCAACAAAGTGATGATGGGGAGCAAGAGTGAGAAAAAAGAGAGAGAAAGAGAGAGAGGCGGAAATAGAGAGCAAAAAGAAACAGATTATATGGGAGAAAGAGTTAAGGAAAAGAGACAGAGAGAGAGAGAGTGAAAGAGAGTAAAAAGAAACAGTGGATAAACGAGTGAAAGAGAGAGGAAAAGAGAAAGCAAAAAGAGACGCACAGGTTATAAAGGAAAAAGAGAGAGCAAAATAGAGAGAGAGAGAGAGAGAGTAAAAAGAAACAGGGAGATTATAGGGGAGAAAAACAGTGTAAGAGAGAGAGAGAGAGAGAGAGAGAGAGAGAGAAAGAGAAATAGAGACAAAGATTATTTCGTCATCTATTTTTAGATATTTCTTGACATTGCTTGTGCAGTTTAGTCAAATGACTGTTTTATTCTGATTGAAATTCAAGCCTTCTTTTTCACACATACACACGCATATATATGTGTGTGTGTGTGTGTGTGTCTGTGTCTGTGTGTGTGTGTATGCATGTATAAATTTGCTTAAAAACAAACGAAACTTTTTTGTTAAGCATTTATTTATTTATTATTTCTATATTTCGGACAAACTTCCTGATCTCTTATAAATATTTCAATATAAATTTGAAAATGAATTGCCCTATGGCATGAAGGGATTTATATTTAAATTATGTACCAGAACCCAGGAAAATCGCTCGAAATAAGAAAAGAAAAGAAACAAAGAACTTTCGTCGGTCTTTCACCAACTTGTATGTATGTATATATATATATATATATATATATATATATATATATATATATATATATATATATATATATATACCGGTGTAACAAAATTGTCCAAATCGTGTAACAACAAAATTGGTCAATTGTTACATTAAGCTTTGAACTGTTGTATCTTAGAAATTACGATTTTTACGAAAAATGGTGTCAAGGCGTATTCCTCAATCCCGATTCCTCAGTCTTATTTGAATATTTGAAAATAAGAAACTGAATTAGTTTAGTTGTTTTTTTAGATATGTAGGATGGATTGTTACACTATATATATATATATATATATATGTGTGTGTGTGTGTGTGTGTGTGTGTGTGTGTGTGTGTACACAACACACCATCACACACACACACACACGCAAATATTCTCGGTAAACGGATCCATTTTTCCGGGTTGGCGCATTAAAAAATAACTAATACGATTGGTTGTTGAGAGTGACGTAATTAAGTCAAAATGGCTTAGAAATAAGTGGCTGAATATTGCATGGTTTAAAACAAAAAAAGAGTTGTGCCGTTTTCACTTTCCTCTAATCCATAATGGCTGCGACACGATTTCGAACAATCCCATTACTTAACCCATCCCACAAGGCACCGCGCATGTAGCTTTTTAGTTCCGCTAGTGTCTTAGATTTTCTTTCCCAGATGTTTTCACCAGTTGTTACATCAATATTTTGGTTGGTTGATTTTGGTTAGTGGCATATCAACATCTGTTAGTTATTTAATGCCGAAAACTAAACCGTCCTGTGTATGACGATAAATTACATCCGTGTCATAAGTAAGACGATAAACTACGTCCAACAGCAAGGCATCTTATCAGGCGGTTTTGAGGAGCGTGGAACCACCTCTTAACTGCTGGTGTTCCCAGGTCCACCCTGACCCGGGGTGGTAGCACCTGTTAGGGTCCCAGCTATAGGCAAATAGTTAACCCCAAAACTGGGGTTAAAACATCATGAAAGTGTATAAAAAGGTTTTCATACTATAAATACTTTGTAAAATATTATTACCAGCAACACATTCTTGGAACAAAAATATATATTACCAGCAATAAAAATTGACAGCATTAAATAACCCATTGAGGTTGATATACTGTAAAAAACAAAAACAAAAACAAAAAAAAAACGAAACCAAACCAGCTATACATTTTTGCAAAAAATATTACCAAGGATACATTTTCGAAGAAAATATATTACCAGAAATAGATTTTGGAAAGGAAAAAAAATTACCAGCAATACAGTTTTGAAAAAAAAAATACCATCAATAAAAAAATTATCGGCATTACATCATTTACATTATTCAGACTATAGTCCTCATCTTTGTCGCCATATTTATTACAACCTTTTTGGCCGATGTACGCTCCGGCCTTCTTCAGGTGGTTGGAATATCGAACTGAATCCTTTATTTCCCTCACTGGGGTAGACTGTTCTAGTTCCACGTGCCATGTCTAATGGATGTCAGTTATCAGTTATCTCCTGTTAATTCCCCTCTCCAAGTTCTCCACTGCCTTAACCAGGTATTAGAACTTACACTCTTTGGGTCCTGTCACTGGATCTAACTAACGCCTTTATCCACTGTGTCCTTGAGGACATCTGTGTATGGATTTCTGGGTATTATAAACCTAATGTCTTCAGCAATCATTTTTTTACCAGTGCTCATATTGCAATTTTTGCTGTTATCATTTCGTGTTTTTACCAGAGCTCATATTGCAATTTTTTGTTGTTATTATCGCTTTTCTCTAGCACTCCTTATTACTGGTTCCCATATTGTATTCATTTCTATGCTTGGTCGGCTCAGGATATTTTTTGCATATGTGCTGATTCCTTAAGTTTACGAATTGTCCAATGGTGTTCTTTGCCGGCATTAAATAACCGATTGAGGTTGATATTCCGTAAACCAAACCAAACCAAACCAAACCAAACCGAAAACTAAATATTTTGTATGTAATTTTATGCTTTAAACTACAAATATTTTGTAAATAATTTTATACTTTCAAAGTAAAGGTATATTTTTAAATGTATAGTTTGTAGACAATAAATATATTGGTGGTTATTTTTCTATAAAAATGTATTTTTAGATTTAGATTTTTTAGTGTTGCATTGATTGTCATTTTGCTATAAAAATGTATTGTTGGTCCTTTTATTATAAAAATGTACTATTGATTTTTGTTTGGAGGTTCACTATTTGCCCATAGTTGGGACCCTAACAGGTGCTACCACCCATGGTCATGGTCGACCTGGGAACAACAGCAGTTAAGAGATTACTGCTGAGTGTAGTTTATGGTCATAATCAGGACGGGAATAGTTTGGTAAACTTTCAAATGTCCATTTCGTTCACTGAGGTACGTTCCTTTTAACACTCTCCGTAAAAAATCCTCCCTCAACATCCTCCTACAAAAAAAAAAAAGAAAGTGCCTGTAATCCATACATAGAATCAATAATAAAGGTAAAACCTTCTGTGTCTGTAACAGTCACGAGACCTTTAATCCGTCAGGGTCGTAGGGGTACCATGTGTATTGCAGCTATAGCAGCAGCAGTGGGGTTTCTTGGGTATGATAGCATTACGGAGCCCAACCATCTCCAGGATGGTTTGCATTCAGAGTCTTCCTTTTCCTAGACTAGCAGACAACCAAGGCTGTGAGTGCACATCTATTCTGCTATATATCCATTGGAGGAGTGGGGAAGAGATGGATTCATAACTTTCCCAAGGGTATTTCCATATAAGTGAATGTAATAAACTCGACTGTAATTCGAACTCGGCTCTCCGATTCCTCAATCTGAGCCGCTATCCATTACATCACTGCGTCTGTGGAAGGCTTTGAATAAAGTCTCCCCAGCTTCGGGATACATTCAGTCAATATCTGTGTGTGTGTGTGTGTGTGTGTGTGTGTGTGTGTGTGTGTGTGTGTGTGTGTGTGTGTGTGTGTGTGTGTGTGTGTGTGTGTGTAAACTAATAGTCATCCCTGGTGCCTTAAATGTTCCAAATACCGATTGGATTAGAAACAGCCTATTCCGTTCAAATGATATTTTTATAGAAAAATATTTGAATAACAATGTACTATTTAGTGATTTTAATTTTTTTTTTTTGCTTACGCAAGGACGGGTAGTAGCCGATTATTACAGAGAAATCATTACTATTTACATTATTTACTTTGTTCGACCTCATCTTTATTGCCATATTCACGACGTTTCGGCCGTGTCTTCTTCAGGTGTTTGGAATTTCGAACTAAACCCTTTATTTCGTCAACTGTGGTAGATTGTTCTAGTTCGACGTGCCATGCCTTTTCTGGATGTCTCAGTTATTTCCCTTCAACTCAACTCTCCACATGGCCCAGTGGGTAAAAGCTTTGGTGGGATCCAGTGAGCTGACCCAAAGAGTTGTGAATTCAATACAAGGCTATTGCAGTGGCGAATAAAAACTAGGAGAGTTGAGTTAAAGGTTATTTAAAACCAGAAAAGTTGCTTAACTTCGGTGATTGTACGGAAACCGGTGTTTCCACGCTATATGAGCACAAGAAAAAAGAAAAGAAAAAAGTGAAAAAAAAGAAATAAAGAAAAAAAAAAGTACAGAAAAAAGAAAAGAAAAAGCAAGAAAAAATAAAGTACAATGTAACCTGGATATAAGAGACCCGAATATAAGAGAGATTTTCTCCGGTCCCAAATTAGAGCCCATACTTAACTAAACAAAATAGATCAAACCCGGATATAAGAGAAACCCGGATATAAGAGACTTCTCCGGTCCCGACAACTCTCTTATATCCGGGTTACACTGTAAAAGGAAAAGTAAAAGGAAAGAGAAAAAATGGAAAGAGAAAGAAAATTCAAGAGAAAAATAGAAGGAAAAGAAATAGAAAAAGAAATGAGAAAAGAAAAGAGAAAAGAGAAAGAAGAAGTAAAGGAAAAATAAAAAAATAAAGGATAAAACAATAATAAAAAGAAAAGAGAAAATGAAACAATTAAAAGATAAAAGAAAAGGAAAGAGAAAAAATGAAAAGGAAAGAGAAAAAGAAAATCATAAAGAAAAGGAAAGAGAAAAAGAAACAAAAAAGAAAATAAAAAAGAAAGGAAAAAAGAAAGAAAACTAATAGAAAAAGAAAAAGAAAAATTATCGATAAAAGAAAAGCAAGAAAACAAATAAAATGAAAAGTCAAGAAAGGAAAAGAAATTAAAAAGATAAGTAAAGAAAATAAAGAAATAGTGAAAAGAAAAAGAAAAGTAAAGAGAAAAATATAAAAGAAAGAAAAAGAAAGGAAAAATAAAAGGAAGAAAGAAAAAAAGGAAAAAGGAAAGAGAATGAGAAATATGAATATGAAAAAGATAAGAAAAAAGAAAGGAAAAAAAAAGAAGAGAAAGGAGGAAAAGGCTTTCATTACAGGCCATTTTGTGTTAATAAATAGATGTATCTTTGTATGTGTTTTAGATGTGTGCCTTAAATGTTATAAATTCTAATGGCCGACGTATATTTGAAATTGCCACGCCATTGCGTTAATAAATTATTGAACCACTCACAATTCTGATCACGCCGTTTCCGACAATACTGCGTGATTCCTTTTTGTTAGAGTTCTAAAAAAGTCCATGTTCCAAAGATAAGAAGAAATCTCCACTTAGACAGCTTTTCCACGAGAACTGCCATTTTGTCTAACAGACATATGGGTCGGTGTTTCCCTGAGCATTACAATCTTAACCTCTTCAAGTTGAGAGTCAATCTTTAACTATCCGCCTTATATTCATAATCTTCACTTTCTACTATTTCCTCTTTCATACATATCACGCACTTCATTTATTAACTGAGTGCCTTGTCTTGGGTGAAATTTAGTGAAAGAAATAGTGATTAATAAAGTGAACTAAGAGGTTGCTATTTTGAGTGGCTTTCGAGCCTTGTATTTTGGTGATCAAAAATAATAGCCATGAGTTTTTATCAAAGACGATGGTTGTACGGACAAAAAACGAGGGACTTGCGTTTTCATTTGTAACTTTTTTCTGCCCTGATATGTCTTACAGCGGCCGCTCTATACAGGGAAGAAGAAAATAGAAGAAAAAATTTGAACGTCTGCGACAAGACAGAAGATTAAAAAATTCATTGACACAAATTATTTATAAAGTATGTAAAAAAAAAAAAAATAAAAAAACGAAAATAGTAATTGTCCTTAGTTGAAGGTTTTATCAACATTCCCACGTTTTTTTTTTTTATATATATATATATATATATATATATATATATATATATATATATATATATATATATATATATATATATATATATTTCCTCTCATGTTTGACATTTTCTGCAATTATGTGTGCCAGGCTGCAAGAAGAATTTGAATGCATACCGACACACAAGTGAACATCGGCGCCTCAGGTTGTGGAAATGGTTAGCGAACTAGTCTGGCTG